GAGGGTTGGGGGTTCTGAGGGGGTGGGAAGTGGGAGGGAGTGGAAGGGGCAGGGGCGGGGCTAGGGCAGGACGGGGGCGGGGCTAGGGCGGGGCTCCTCCCGTCCTCTGTTTTGATTGTTGAAATATGGTAACCCTAGGTAAATGGGACTTCCTTTGACAACCTTTTCATTTTAAAACCAAGACTAGTTTGACAGCAAGATTTGTACCTTCCTAAGTAAATATTACTATTTAACCGTATGACTTGTGGAAGCTTGTTAAGTGACGTGACTCACCTAGATAAAGTTATTTTTAGAGATGTAATTTGTACGGTTTAGAAGGGAAGAAAAAAAAAGGCCGGTAAAGAGCTAAATCCCTCATTATGGTTTACAGAGCTCATGAAACAGCATCCATGCAAAAGATGACTAAGCAAGGGTCTATTGCCACTTTCAGGAATTTACAGACATGAGTCATCCACTTATTGTCTGCAGATACACCACCAAGGTACTTGTGAGTCAGCTTTGATTTGGAAATAGCACTTGCATTCACCATGAATACTTCTTTTGTGTTTCTTAAGTATCTAAATACTGTGGCTAAATAAAATGCAAAACCAAAGCTTGCTGTTGTAATCTTCACAATTCAGATGCTCACTTAAGAAAGTGTGATTTATTTTGCACTGTGATGCATTCTAATATAGTAAAATATAAATGTGGTCTGCGATAGATATCATTTTGCCAACACTTAACTCTGTCCCCTTGTATACTATACAGAAGCAGATTTGATCTGTGTTCTATAATACATAGTTATATCATTTGTATAACCAGCAAAGGGCAAAATCTTCTCCATCACACCTTTGCCACTGCCACAAAAACACAGGTGTGACCAAGAGCAAAATCTGACCTTTTATCTTCAAAACCCTTTGTAAATATTAACTGATAACATGTTTGCTTATTTTACATGCTCAGAAAACTTTTGGGCCGAATTCAAACTTGACATAAGAAACAACTACTACTTTATTAACTCCAGTGGACTTATGTCCACTGTGCCAGCAATGAATTTGGCCCTTAATGTCTACTTCTGAAATAATAGCTGGCTATTTGAAATGTATAGAGCAGGTTAAAATTCAGGGCCATTTCCTGTTTACTTGAATTATAGGTGTGGTTGTGCTCCATAATTAGGGTCACATTTTTGTTGATGAGGCTCAGCTCACATCCTTAATTAGAGAAACACTTGGTTTAGAAAATGGGAGCTCTGGTTATACTTTGTGTTCTCAGGTGGACAATAGCTTTGGAAATCAAAGGCAGCCATCATTACTTTTCAAGATTTGGCTTGAAGTTCAAGGTGGTACTGCTCTTGGCCAGGAGTGGACAGTTCAAATTTAAACCAATCTATTTTGATGGTCTGGTTCCCCGGTTTACATTATATTTGACTCCTGAAAACCTCTATAAATGTTTTGGTTAAGAAAAGGAGGAAGCATTTTCTTTCTTTCTTCTTTTGCTGTACCTCTGTTGAAAAAATACTCTGAAAGATGAAAGGCTAATCACAGAAAATGAGAGCTTCTCTGAAGTGACAGCAATGTCTCTATAGTGCTTTTAGACCGTAGCTGTACTGCTAGATACTTTTTCTTAAAAACAAAGCTTTTGGTTTAGTTAATGGGAGGAAAAATGCTATTACTGCCTCTTTCACGTAGCGAGAAGTTTTCAAAATCAAGCTAATGGAGACCTGAAAGTCTCTAGTAAAAAGATAAATGAAATAAATAGAGATAATATGATTTAATTTCTTTACTGGAGTTTGCTATCCTTTATTCATACTTATAAGCAAAGAAGTGTTTCATACCATTTGCACAGTTATTTGAGGGAGGGTGTTCCTCCAGAAATTGATTCTGCAGAGAGAGCAGATAAAGACTGTACTAAGAAATGGAGTTTAAATTACACAGCACTAAACAAAGTAAACTTCCAGCTTCAAAACTGAGAACCAGTCTCCTGGGGTTTACGTTGCTCTCTACAGAGCAGCTCTTTTGATTCTTTGGCATAAGAGTAATGTCTGTGAGAGGGAGGAACAAGTAGTTTGCTTACTGATAAGTGGCTTATTGTGTGGCAATTCTTTTTCAGGGATATCATGCATTAACCATGCTACCAAGAAGACTTTGACAAAGTATTTCATTTTTGAATCTAACTTTTTTTTTCTTAAACGTAGTAATGTTCTTCCCCAAAATTGATCAAACTAACTCAGTCCATCATGTTACCTCTTAAATGTATCAAGCAAGCATTTGTGTGGGCTGAGTCCCCTGGTTAATTGGTTTTGTGTACCTCATTACCATAAACATATGAAGGGAGTGACTGTGGGGTTGGCAGGCTTGATTTGGAGCATAGGGAAAATAAGGCTTGTCCAGTTCAAAGAGTAGGAAAATTTAGGCTAACTAGCAGAAAATCTTTCTGAGATTGCTATATCTTAGGCTGTGGAGTAGGCTTTCAAAGGAAGTGGTGGAAGCATCCTATCTTGGAATATTTAAAAATAGAATACACAAAGCACTAGCAAATATATTGGAGGAAACAATCCTGCTCTGGCATAGAAATGGGATAAATCATTTACCAGGCCTGTTCCATTTTTAAGTACATCTGACATTATTCAGTCAGGATCCTTGACGTCTCATTAGGTAGAATTGTGAAGTCACAAATGAAGATTTCTGAGATCCCAAGTTCCGATAAATGAGCTACAGTCTTACAAAACTAAATGGGTGAGAATTTGTTCTTTTGTCTCTTAAGGTTAGTGGAATGCATCATTTTGGGATATTAAATGGGATAGTGAGGGATGCTTTGAGGGCCAAATCTTGTACCACTAAAGACAATGCATGTTTTGCCATTGACTTCAGTGGATGCAGGATCAGGCCGTAAAAGTAAATACTGAGATGGATGTATGAGTAAGAATCTTAAAACCAAATAGGGAGATTTTTTAAGTCTACCAAATATAAAAGAAGACCCAAGAAAATGTTATATTCTAAGAATACATTTGGGAATTAAAAGGTTAAGTTTTACAAATTGAAGAGCTTCTGGAATACTCTCCATTATAGACTGGTTTGTTGATCTAACAGACCTGACTAATCTTGAGATGGCCTCCTTCCTTTTGGGTGATAAGCAAGGGGAGTTAAAAGAGATAGGTTCTAATTCTGGGGACACTTAAGAGTAAAACATTTCTGATATCAGTGACTTTGTAGTTTTAGTTGTTTGTTTGACTGAGAGTTGGGATTCCTTTGTTCTGTTCTAGATTCTGCAAGTGACTCAATGTGACCTTATTAAATCACTTAACCTCTCTGGGCGTCAGTTTATCCATCTGTAAAATGGGGTTAATAATACTTGCATCTCTCAGGCAAGTTGTAAGGATTAATTATGGCTGATAAAGCACTTTGAGCTCATCAGATGAAAGGTTCTATAAAAGTACAATGTTGCTCTATTTCGCAAAACAGAATGTGTATTAACATTCCTGAAAGTAGAAACTAAGCTGGAAAAATACAGACTTTAATGCATTAAGCATTAGAAAAAGAAAGAGAAAAAGAGAGAGAGAGAGATTGAACTAGTGGAAATACTGTGATTAACCTGCAAATGCACAATAAAACCATGTGTCATTTGCTTTGTAAAATAAAATACTTCAGTAAACATAAATCGAGTCAGACATCGACATGATATAATCCATGTTTATTGAAAGTACAAGAAGAGATATTAGAATTTCCCAGCATTTTTACTTTTTTCATTTAAGATCTGGTTAGGTACATTTCTTAACCTGAGATTAGAGTTAATAGGTAGGAATGATATATTTCACAATAAATATGAAAGCAAGAAAAGAGGTCTCTTTCATTCCATCTTTTTCTTTTGCTGTCTTTGCAGTTGACCTACCTCTGTACTTTCCTCGAGACCAGCCAACTCTAACATTTCAATCAGTCTATCACTTCACTAACAGTGGACAGCTGTATTCCCAGGCCCAGAAAAACTACCCTTACAGCCCACGCTGGGATGGCAATGAGATGGCCAAGAGAGCAAAGTAAGTCAGACTATCGTTTAATACCAAAAGTTTCATTTATTAGAGGGTCAAGAGTTGTTAAGTATTAGAGTATAGATTTATCTGTATGCACTGGACATTCTGATATGAGACACTGTTTTTGTCTAGTGTTTTCCTTGGCTATATTTGTGTTGGAACTGAATGCAGTCTTAATATTCACACATTTGAATGTAACTTACATGTTTATATTTTATTATTAATAATCAATTATTATGATATTGCCAAAGGACCAACCAGTGCGGCCCCATTGTGCTAGAAACTGTGCAAACAGTGTAATAGCTAGTCCTGCCCCAAAGATCTTACAATCTAAATAGATAAGACAGACACAGGGTTGGAGGGAAGGGTGTCACACACAAGCAGAGTCATCAGTTTGAAGACAGAAAATGTCATATTCATTCCACAATTTTTTTTAGGTGGGTTTCGTTAGCGGGGGTACGCTAAACAGAAATAAAAGTGAAGGGGAAGAAACATTGAACAGAAGAGGGTAAGGGAGACAGGGTTGGGGAGAAGAGGCTAAGGGGCAGGTGTGGACTGCAGCTGAAATGAAGAGATACTGAAAGATGGGAAAGGGAATGGGTGGAGCAAACAGCCAATCAACACAGGGCAGAGAAAATCCAGTTAAACCATGGAAAGTTCTCTGAATCTCCCTGCTTTGACTGCTTCTTTAGCTTCTCCTACCAGCTGGAGACTGCACTTCTTCCCCAAGGCCACATGGTAGATTGGCCGAGAGGCACTACCTGGATCCCTGTTTCCCCAGAGTATGGGAGGGTCTCCCCTGCACAGTTCTGGGTCTGGGGGATACTGAGGGGAGCAGTGGCCTCATTTTACCCTCTCCCCCCAGTGTAGCAATGGGTTGCTTTGCACCTGCTCCTACTGGCTGGAGTTTCTGATTGTAGTCATCGTATTTACAAATTCAAGCATAACTAAGTATAATTTAGACATTTATATCTTGGTACATAGTACAATGTTCATGTTAATTACTGTTTTACTTTACTGCAAGCGCCCAAGTGCTATAACTAAAACAACATAGAATTAACACAAAGGTGTAGATAGGATATAAACCAGAATATAATGTTTAAAATAAGACTTAAAAGCGAGGCAATGAATAAGCAACACAAATTTCACCTTGATGGAACTATATGGGCAAAGGCCCTGTACTTAGATTTTACAAATTGTAGAAATGCTGAAACAGCAATAACTTAGAGTACAAGTTGGACTACAGCACATATAGACATCCATTATATAAATAAAATAGCCTATCAGAATGAAGGGCTTTGAACACCAGAATCAAAAGATTTAAATGAATTAGCAAAGGGCACTTAAACAAGGAAGTCAAAGGAAAAGAGCTCAGCTGCAAAAATCAGGTGAATGATGCACATCGTTGTATAGACTATAACTTGGGAAGGGTAGAAGTAAACAGTGAATAACTGAAACACATGCAAGTTTTATAATGCCTTAAATAATATGGAGAATATCAAATAGTAGCATTTGGGATTCTGGATGACATATTGCACCAGGTATGTGTTTTTGTTTGTTTATAATAATTGACTTTTTAGGAGCACTGTCTCCTGTTAAACGTATTCTCTTTTTGTTGAGTTGGTTTGTTAGGATTGACGAAGGGGGCTATGCAAGTGCCAGAATATTGTAGATGTTTTGTTGAAAAGAATGAAAAATATAACTTGGAAGCATCATTGTGAGTTATTTCATGCCTGTACTGGACAATACATTAGTTTTGTTGGAGGAGTTGTACACAAACACACACTCTGTCTGCTCTAAACTTACATATAAATCAGCACATGCAAGTTGAACCTCCCTGCCCAATCCCCATTCCTGAAATGTAGTGGTGCTCTAACAGTCCTTTGGAAAAGCACTGGCTGCATAATTTTTCTTTAGTTTTTCTCAGCTCTCTATGAGCTGAGGGGTGAAAACATTATCACCTATAGACATTGCTATGAGGTTTGTCACCTCTGAGTCTTTGCATATAAACAGAGTTAGATTAAACATAACTACATACAGTAGAGGGAGTAGAGTGTGAGCAGGTGGGGGAAGAGAGAAAATTGAGGTTTCCATCCCGTAAGCACAAAGAGAGAGAGAAGCTGCTGTTTATAGCTCTACGTTTATGAGAGTGAATGCTGACTTTACTGCCTCACGCAGGGTGGGCAGACCAGATTAAAAAAAAAAATACTCTCTGTTGGGAAGAAATGTCCCAAGAGCAGCAGTTTCTCTCTTTGGGTTTGTCTACACTGCGAAAATGAATAATGTTTTAATGAATACGTTTTAAGCACCATGTAACATCTAGTGTAGACAAAGACAACCAGGTTAAGATGTGTTAGCCAAGGTTATTTAGGTCACACCTACACTAGAAAGTTTTATTGGTAGTATTTCTGCCAGCATGTAGCTACCAATTTTGCAATTCCAGTAGAGCATGTGCATATTCGCCTGCCTTTGCCAGTGCAGCACACCTTCACGTCGAGAGGTTGTATCGGAGAAAAAGTGCTCTGCACTCCAGGAAGGCATCCCAGTGTGCCCCACACCACAGTCCAGCTTTCTGCGACTTTTGGAAGTGTACTGTGAGAAACTGGCACTCCTCTCAGGGAACTGTGGGACCTTAGGGTTAAGTTCCCTCTGTTCCCGCCATAATCTTCTCTTTTGCACCAGTTTTTTAAATTCCCACAGTTCCTTGTGCCGGTTTTCAATCTCTCTGCCACCTCACTGGCAAAAACATGGATGCCAAACAGATCAGTGGAATTCTCATATCAATTTTAAAGACAGGGCACCTGCTTCTTCTGTATTTGTGGAACTTCAGCAACTATCACAGAGGCCAGGCATGCAGCAGTGAAAATGAGAAAACTGAGGAGGAGTGGATGATGCAGACAGTGAATGAAAGTCACCTGATGTTGCAAGCATTCACTGACCAGCTACACACGGTGGAACAGCACTTCTGGGCCCATGAAATAAGCACTGATTGTTGGGAATGGATCATGATGCAAATCTGGGACGCTCAGCAGTGGCTTCAGAACTTTCAGATGCCGAAGGTCACATTTCTGGAGTTGTGTGCTGAGCTTGCCCCAGGCTTTCAGTGCAGAAACACGGAAATGAGAGCTGTTTTGACAGTGGAAAATGGGTAGCAATCACGTTGTGGAAGCTTGCAACCCTAGATTGCTATCGGTTGGTGTTGGAAAGTCTTCAGTGGGGACAGTCATCATCCAGGTGTGCAAGCCCATTAATTGTCGCCTGCTGCACAGGATTGTGACTCTGGGCAATGTGCAGGAAATAATAGATTGATTCAGTGCAGTGGATTTCCCAAACTGTGGTGGAGTGATAGAGGAAATGCATATCTTGATCCTGGCCCGCCCACCTGCACTCCTCTGGCTGAGTACTTATACAGAAAGTGGTTCTTTTCATGGTTATGCAGGCATTAGTGGATCACCAGGAAGGTTTCACTGACATTAACAAAGGGTAGTCAGAGAAAGTGCATAATGGGTTCTTCCTCAGGACTCAACTGAGTCAAGTTCAGCTGACTGGCTCTCCACTGGGTCAGCATTCTCTGCATCCATGTCCTTGACACGCTCTTTGTTGCTGTGCACTGCTGGGGTTCCCTCCTCGGGATCTCACATAGTGTCCACTGTCACTTTTGCGGTGATGGTAGGATCCCCACCAAATATGGCATCCAACTCTGCAAAGAAGCGGCAGATATGTGGGACAGCCCCAGATTTTCTGTTGGCCTCCCTTGCCTTTTGTCCAGCTGCTGCAGTTCCTTCTCCTTCACCCAGCATTGATGCCCCTCCCTGTTGTGCCCCAGCTGCATATCCTCTGCAGTGTCCAAATAGAGATCTTTACTTCCACAGTTATTCTGCATCTGGGCTTGCACTTCTCCTCCCCACAGTCTGAGAAAATCCAAGACTTCTTTCCTGACCACGCAGCAGTACAAGGTTTACCAGTTTCTTTATGGGTATCCATATCTGTGCGCTCTGAGGTGGGCTTGCGGAAGAGACACATTTCCAAAATGGTGTTTTAAAGTGTTGTTGGGGGGGGAGGGCTGGTCACTGTGACCCCTTGGCAACAGAGTTCAGAATGGTGATCAGGAGGGTCATTGTCACAGGGACAGAGGCATTGTAGGACTGTTGCCAGAGGACTGTTTTTACTGGCATAGGTAATACATGATCCACACAGATATTGTAGCAGTGGAATAGTGCAGATAGAGGGCTTATGTCTTTCAGGGAGATGGTTTAATGAGACCAACAGAAAGTTAGAGTTTTACTACCAGGACTCAAAAGTAAGTGTGGACACAAAGAAAGATGTGCCAGACTAAGGCATGTTTTATGGTAACATTTCGTAATGTGGCACAAGCCTTAGGACCAGCTAACACATTTTTACCACAACCAGCTAATTCATTTTTAACAAGCAACAGAGTCCTGTGGCACCTTTAAGAATAACAGATGTATTGGAGCATAAGCTTTCGTGGGTGAATGGAAGTGGGCATTCACCCACGAAAGCTTATGCTCCAATACATCTGTTAGTCTTAAAGGTGCCACAAGACCCTCTGTTGCTTTTTACAGACCCAGACTAACATGGCTACCCCTCTGATACTTCATTTTTAACATGACTCTCTACACTAGGGGCTAAGGTGTATTTGAGCATTTTAATTCAAAAATGTTAGTTAGCACATTTGAAAACAACACATATTTCCCTAGAATAGACAAACCTTTAAACTCGTGTGAGCCATCTGTCTAAAAGTGTGCCAAAGATGTTGTCCTAAAATATGTGGCTAGCATAAGAACGTATAGTACATTATGGAAAGCTAGCATCCGTGTTTGTGCAGTACATGTGAAACAAAATATCTCTGTGGTTTCCATGGGAAAGCTCTTGATTTTTTCTTAAGTAGGCATTCAAGTGTGCATGAACTGTGTCTTTAAAGAACATGCAGACGCTGAGCCTGGGATTTCGTGAAGGAATATTGTAAATAATGCTGTTTGTTTATA